ACGGAATACATAAAGCACTTGTTGTCTTCGTTTTGGATGTTGATACAGGCTTTCTTGCTCTGAACCCATTTAGGTAATGGAAGGAATGAACCACCACGAGTAGGATTGAATTTGTCATAGTGAAATCTTAACTTGTCAAACTGTTTGATGACTAATCCGCTCTCACTCAATTCCATTCTGTCTGTTTGAAACTCTATGTCGGTGGCTATTTGAGAAAGGACACTCACTATCTCATCTGCGTTGGTGATTTCATATCTTCTACTCCTTATTGTATGTCTAATATCTTCGTCGGTCTTCTTGCTTTTGAATGTCCCGTATGCTTCCATCATAATCTTCATTCCCTTATGTTTGTTCAGGTATTCCTTCAGTCTTTGGTCTTGGTATTTGAGATACTGAAGGGCTTTAACGCCCTTGACTTTGATATTACTGACGGAATATGAATTCACATAGTTCTTGAAAGCAGATTGTTCGTCGGTGATGTCTGCTTTGAACCTCTTTTGTATGCTTACCAGTGCTTTGTTCTTGTCCAGTCTCGTCCATTTAATACCACGTTTTGTTTCCAGTTCGTATTTCTTGTATCCCATAGTTTGTTTAACAGTGTTGAGTTTTCGTTTCAGTCTGTCGGTGGGTGGTTTTGTCTTGTCATAGTTGTAGGTCTTCTCACCTATCTTGAGTTTCTTTAGTTCTCTTCCGTTCTCTTTGAGGACTCCCCCTTTTTGGATGTAAGTAGGTAATCTAATACAATCTGCTCTGAACGACTTGTCATAATAGTAAGGTCTATATTATTATTATGCGATGTTTCTTTAAGTAGGATTTGAGGTATGGTTGATGGGTGGTTTGACGGTTGAGGATTGTGTTGGTGATGTTGGTTGTCATCCTTATAAACTTCTTTCAACATTGAACCCTCTGCCATATACTCCTTAATATAATAAGGCAATATTTCTTTAAGTATTTTTGGGCTGGGGTCTGGGGTTCAGGTTTTGGGGACTTGGGTTGAACCTCAACGTGCAAACATTCTCAACAAAAGTTGATGTTGTTGAGAAGGTTATTCATTTTTCGTCAGTGCCTTCGGTTGCTCATACAGACGTTGGTTTGGCGGTGTTTTGACAAATTTGATTTTGATGAAATGGTGCGTCCGCAGTCGGGACACTTGAACGGAATTTTGAGTTTCTTTTGATAATAGTTTTTGAAGTAATCTTCATCTAATGGTCTCTTGTCATAAGTTCCGTCGGGTTTATAACGACTTCTTGAAGTCGTTAAAAGAGCCTCTGGCTGTTTCCAACGACTGTTTGCTGTGGGTGTGTTTTTTGGTGTGGTTGGTTGATGGAGGGCTTCAGCCATTTGGTCAAAGATGTTTTCATCCATTTCTTGCTTTTTTCCGTCAATATACAAATAACAGGGCATACTATCTTATTTCCATAAGGCGACATTTCTTTAAGTGTCTTTGGGTGTAGTGTTTAAAAGGTGTAGTTGTGAAGTGCTCCACAAAACCTTCATTCATTAAGTTCTGTTCCTGCCACTTTCTACGAAATCTTCACTTGAACCCTTCACTCTTCACTACTGAACCCTTCACTACACTCTTGAGCCGTCTAGATACTATATAACCATATAAACAGTCAGGATGACACCGTATGGGTTTGCTTGTGGGGTCTCTTTGCCACCGATGCTCCCCGATACAGTGCCATCCCGACTGAAAAAACCTACTCCAACCATTTTTTACTTATATAAAAAATATCAAAACAGAATGACGAAAAGTCTTGGGTAGGTAGTGAGTGTGGGGGTTGCGTTTGGAAATCCGCTTCCCCACCATCACTCACTCCTCCCTTCTTCTCTTCTTCGTCCTTTCTTTTTTGAATAAATAAAGAAGTAAAAAAGGAAAAAAACGCAACGCCGACGCCCACGCCAACCCTCCCAAAATCCCTGATGTTCTTGAAGACGACCCTTCTGACAAGCAGGGTAGATGAAGTGAAGGGTGTATTATATGAGTTTCTATCTTCTATATATACATATATATATATAAATCCTTTGTATCTCGGTGTATAGAGTTTGTATGTATAGAGTTCAGGCTTTTCCCAACAACTCTGAGTGAAAAAAGACAATGCCAAAATGCTTCAAGACTGACAAATTTTTTCAAACTCTTTGAACATATTTTGACTAACGTTTCCCTTCACCCCTCAATGGTCATCTTCAAGATGTTGTCTTTTTAACCTCAGAGCGTGGCGGATGAGATGGTTTTGCAAAAAAACTCTGTCTGAAGTCTCTGTCAAAAGATTGAAAGGGAGTCCTACCAAAAAGTGGCTCGAAAGTCTTCCTTTTCCACTGGCAACGGCGTAAATGAATTCATTGGTCTTTCCACTGTCGGTGAATGGACTTATAAAAGTGCTTAGAATTAACAATGTCTATGGTGTCTGTGCTGGTGTCAAAGGAATTAGGCAAGCAATGCCAACCCCTCATTATCATTGGTATTTGGATACTTGGTTCGTGGTATCGTTGATACTTGGTTCTGGGTATTGTTGATACTTGGTTCTGGGTATCGTTGATACTTGGTTCTGGGTATCAGTGATACTTGGATACTGGTATCGGGGTATCATTGATACTTGGTTCTGGGTATCATTGATACTTGGTTTTGGGTATCATTGATACTTTTGTTTGGGTATCCATCCCTGCTGGGGTTCGGCATCAAAACCTCATCCACAATCGCCTACATCAGGACGCAGCGATTGGCGTCTTCAGTGGCATTGCCGTTAATGAGGTTGTCATTTGAAACCTCCTCTTGCGAATTTCGTCTCAACCTCTTCCTGTAGGAAATCACATCCTTCAGTGCCTCAAGGAAAGGCTCGTTGTTGAACTGAACCTCTCCTGATGAAGTGGCACTGTTGTTGTAGGTTCTGGCATAGATTTCCGTGTAGGTGTTGATGACTTCCGCCTTGACCCTGAAGAGTTCATTGATAAAGGAGTTGATTTCATCCAAATCACTCAACACCACAAAGGAACTGTCCAAGATTTTGTCCTCGGTGTTTTGACCACGACCTTTCTTCTCAAATATTTTCTTCAACTCCGCAAGCTTTTCGTCGGGCAAACTCTCAAGGAACTGGTTGATGACACTTCCATCACCTCCGCTGACACGAGCCTTCCAAGCGTTCATCTTTTCCGTGATGGGTTGGATGATTGGACGGATTGTGGCAGGAGGGTCATTCACCAACTCGTAGTGGTCAAGTTTGGGTTTGATGTTGGAGACCGACCGCTTGATGAGCGCTTTGACACCCGCCTCATTCTTGAGATGACCTTTGAGAACTCCACGGACAGGCATTGCGAAAAGGCAAGGCTGACAAAACCGAGATTGAAACACTCTATACAGTCTTGAGGCAGAAATGCCTACAAAATGCCTACAAGTCAAATCAAGTGGTGAGAGTAGCATCAACTGTGACAGTCGCAGTTTTATCTAATTTGTTCAAATAAAATATGGGTTATCGAGTTAAGTTGTCTCCGTTTTGTCAAACTGACAACACTGTTGTGTCAATGATGAAGTCAAGCAATACGATTGTCCTTTCCAGTGGGTTGTGTTTCTCCAATTCCCCCAGTATTTGGATTTGAAACCAGCAACCGTGCTGTTGCAAAGCTCTGACAAACGTCAATGGACGAAAGCAAATGCCACCAACAGCAAACATGCAATTGACGCGATTGTGGGATGGCTCTTTTTTTCCTCGACCCATTGAGGCGAGAGGAGGTATGACGTAAGTCTAGCACTTCAACAGCTAAAACTGAACCAAGGTGCTCGCGTCTTCTTCAGTGTGGTAATCTTTACACTGCGCGGACTGCCCGCCACACCACGCCGCGCCTTTGAAAAAATGGTTGTGGCTCAAGGGAAGACTGCATGGTGCGCATTGGCTTCTCTGAGTGGGTCGGGGTAATCATTCCGAAACGTGTCTTTCGTGACAACCCTCACTCCGACAACGAAGCGGAGTCGAAACGCTGGCCAAAACCAGGTTGTTTGTCCCGTGGTGTCCTCCACCTCCCAGGTCACAGACGCATGCTTGCATTTGTATGGAACACAGAGGTGCTGATAAGTTGTACTCCACACGGCGCCCTTCATGTCACAATAGGCAATATCCACCCACTTGCCGGGCTTCACATTACATACCGCCTCATAACCCTTCGGCAAATAGAAAGGTTCCTGATCTTTGGCCTGAACAAAAACACGCCAGTCAGACTTGTTGCGCACAATAACTTCGGTCGTGGCCATGGCTTCCTGGAAGATTGCAACCTCCACACTTGAACCAAAAAGTGCTACTCAAGAAGCATCAAGGAAGATGTTGATACGAAACGACAAAAGAGCAACCGCAATGCTGCCAAAAATGAAACTTGTTTAAACCAAACTCTCATCCATTGCGCTCCCACTACGTCTGGGCATCCCGACAGTGAAATGAAGAAGGTGAAGATCATGGGTGCATCTTGCCCAAGCAAGGTAAAATACAAAACAGCAACAACAATCAGCCTCCTCGTTGAATATCTCCGAACAGAGTGATTTTTAGCACCAAATTTTCCCCAGAAACCCCATAGAGAATAACGACAAAGCCTCAACACAAATTTTAGCGAGGCAAAAAAAATCAACGAGGTGATTGATGAACAAAAACTCCCCAGAACCCCCATTTTACCATTTTTTTCCCCCAAACAAAACAAAGGTCAGTTCCTGGTCCAAGGTCCAGTGATTTGGGTCCAAATGATGCGTCGCCCAGTCCTCCAAACCAGTAGGCGGGGTCCGTACCATGGTACCATGACACCGTTCTCTCTCGTCTTCGAAACCCAATTTCTTTCTGTTGGGTATGAGTCCAAACATTGGGCTTCGCCGTGGCAATGGTTTCGGACCCTAGCTTTTTATTGGCTGTTCACTCAGGAGCTATCCCCTCCATGAAGCAACCAATTTAGTAAACAATCATTGCCTTAAGCTATATAATATGGTCCACGTGGAGACCGCGCGGTGCGGCGGTGCGGCGTTCCGCCTCCGGCAGGGGCGAGTTGCCGTTGCCCAGGTGTAAGACCTGTCGCTCCACATCTCGCGCAAGTAGCGGCTCCTGCAGAACAGTGTAATGGAAAAGAACGGACATGCAGTGCAGCAATGCATTTCCGTGGGAGTGGAGGGACTACTGGAGATCCTATCATCTTCTATTATTTGAATGTCCCCCTATGTATGCAAGAATGTGCTACTGTTGGAGGCCGCAGCGATCCAACCCAACGAGTCCTGCTCCCAAACCCTGCTTTCTAAGAATCCGTGGTCCTTGAAAGGCCACTTTTCGCCCTGCCCCAGTCGGACGGCACATGACATTTCTCAGCACGATCGGACTCTTGGATGCACTCCCTGAACTCCATTCACCGCTCCCACCGGTCCAAAAGCCATTGCAGTTGCTCCCACCTCGGTTGTTCGACAAGGCGCCACAAGAGGGGGACAGTCGTCCACCAAAACCAAGCTGCGATGTCAAGCACGACTGCGAAACGACTGGCATATTGATCTACATTGGGGTGGTAGACCCGGGGTCAATGTAGGCATGTTTATGATTGTTTATGCTAGCGGGTGCTTAACCGGCTCCTATTTTCGATAATGTTTCTCTACATGTTGCACGCTGTCAGGTTCTCTACATGTTGCTTGATGTCAGGTTCTCTACTTTTCATTACTTTTCTATCTTTTCTATGATTTTGCTCTACAGGTTGCATGCTACAGGTTGAATGTGGACTGAGGACTGATTTGGTTCGAATGTCGGAGGATGACCCGCTGGTTTTGTGTCTGGTGTTGGTTTTGCAAATTCGTTTGTCTGGTCCTCTTTTCTCGTTTAAGAAAGGGCAAGTTCCGGGATCGTTGCGAACGCGCACGAAGAGCAAGAAAGTGAACCCCTTGCTTCTTCACTACACTCGTCAATTCCAATGGCGATACGTGCAAAAAAAGGAACTTGCTCAAGAGAACAGGGCAAACAATGTTTGCCAAGATGTTGTGTGGCGAGCAAAGAAAAATGCCTGATGCCACCAATGCTACTTATCAAAGCTTTGGCACTCAAAACACAGGTTTCGAGCGTTTGGACTTCATAAATCAAACAAAAAATGACAACAAACGCAACTGCGATTTGAATGGCCTGCGTAGTGTTTTTTGCATTTTTTGGTAGAAAAGAGGGGCTGGTTAAGCCCGCGCAGGGATGTTTTTGGCCGGAAAGGAGGGTTTGGGAATGCAAAATCGGTGACTTTAGACTCGAGTTTGCTCTCCTCTCTCTATATTGGGTGTTTACAAGATGGCACTGAAATACACCGTTGGGCAAAAGAATGGGAGACTCCCAAAATGCGCTCGGACCTGCACGCCGGATTCGACCTGTCAGAAGGGTTTGGACCGGTGGTCGTGCGAGCTCGCTCTCTGGCTCACAAACCAAGAACTGCTGAGAAGTCTAGTGGGTCACTTTTTATTCCTTACTTACTTCAAGTAAAAGCCTCTAGTGTTGACAAGTCAGTATCACTGTCAGTATCTTACTTCTTAGCCGATCAATCAAACCTTGCAACATCTCCACCAGGAACCATCAAAACAAACCAAACCTGTGACCAAACCACGGAGCGACCAGTAAACCTCGCACGCCCCGCAGCACCAACTGCGCTTTTCAATTCCACATGGCCAGCGGCACCACATGGTCTGGCCTCAATACCCAAGGCCGGCGGTGTGAGGCAAAACTTGGATTTGCACAGAGAACCGGGAAGCAACATCCTCAGATGAGGATTCACCCATAGCAAAAATTAGAACAATCACCGCAAGCAAAACTTCAGAAAAGGTGGATCCTCTAGGGTCCACGGATGCAAAATCAGGCTTTGCCTAAGCGCAGTACTTATCGTTTTCGCATGCCACTGTTCCACACGGATGCCACCGTCGAGGCCTGAAATCGCCACGTTTGGAGGCACCTCCCCAACTCCCCAACTGCACGAGCGGCTGGATGCCATACCGCTCGGCCAAACGCAGCAAGGCGTCCGGCGTGGGCGTCTGCCCCGGCTCGATGCCCAGCTCCTGGTAGGCAACTCTAGCCAGTCTGCCTGCGCTCTTTCTTTCGAAGGCCCAAAGACCCCAGGAGTTTCAAACATTGACCTTGCGCCCCAAAGAATCAACCCCCATTCCCCAGTTTTGCTTCGCCAAACACCGTTTCTTCACGTCCTGCTTTCCTTTTTGGGACCCGCAAAAGCGCCAGGTCCCCCAGCGCTTCAGGTCTCCGGTCTCCTGGTGCTCAATGCCTCCCGCCACGAAGACCACCGGCAGTGCAGCCGCACGAGCTCCAGCCACGTCGTGGATCATGGAGTCACCCACGTGGCACGCAGCCACCTGGGTTGGAAAGCAAGCGACATGGACAGCCATCCTGGAGTGAAGGATGCTGAGTCAAAGGGTCATGTTTCTTTCTTAATATGGTTTGGCATGTGGCTTTTGTTTGCGAAGCATAATCATATAGCCAATCTAAACAGTTATATACTTGTGATACATGCTGTTCTTAATGACACAAAGTGCTATGACTGTTGCAGGATGGGGGCAGCCGGAAGGTCATACTCTCCTAATATGCAAGTAATTGAGCTGTTCAAGGAACTGAGACACAAACATAGGCTTGGGAGCTGCCAGTTGCAGCTGCCAAGCACGGCTGGAGGACTTGCCTACATTGACCCCGGGACAACCACCCCAATGTAGCTACAGTGGTTTCAAAGATTCGATGCCACTGGCACCCCATGATGTCCTAGACAAATGCCGGTGCTGAAAAGACACACCAAACTTCGGGGAACGGTAACTTGTGCCATCTACTCTCAATCCACTCTAACTATGCCAAGTCCCATGTGTCGTGTCTGTTGCAGTGGCCATTCCTCCAAACTCTTTTCATCTCTTTTCTCAGTCCTCACGAGTTATATACTGACATGGCAATGGTCAATTCTGTTCTGATTCTCGCCAAAAGGGGCCAGGAGCCCCAGGGCCAAAGTGGGTGAAAACCTGAAGATCCAAGTCCTGGTAAAGCTTGGCCACGTCTGGTAAACCATGGTAAATCGATTCTGACCAGCATCCCCCTGTTTTGACCCACTGCCAGACACGTTCCAAGCCACGTCGCCCAAGAACCTCAGTGGCCGGGCGCTCTTTCCTCATCGCTGGAGGTGCCGACGTGTGCAGCATGGGGTGCAACGGTTCCATGGTTGATTTCGGGTTCCAATCGCCCGGAGGGATGGTCCTTGAGGGAGCGTTGGGAAGATCATTCTCTGTCAATCTCCCTCTCGTTCTCTCACTGTCTCAATCTCTCTCAAGCTTTTGCCTTTGGTATCCAAGCAACTTCTTGACTCTCATACAGGAACCAGCACTCCCTTGCTGCATGCTGCCCCAGTCAGCGCAGGGTGGGAACATGGGGCAGCAAAGCATCGTCGACCTATAAAGAGACATCCTGACATCCACCAGATTGTCCCCTGAAGCTTGAGTTGCTTAGTTGAGACGTCCCCCCGTGCCAATGTGTGTTTAAGCCTTTCTTGTGGACATATTCCGCAGACTGACCTGTAAGCTCAGGACTCCCTCTCGCTCCAGGTCACCCCACGACAGCGCCCCGACCTCGCCTGCGGGCAGCTTCGAAGTGAGGGCTGTGAGGCTTTCCGAAGTACTGGACCACGCCACCTAACTCCTGAGATTGCAGGCCCGCGGATGGGAGAAAAATAACGAGGCCTTGAAGCGAGCGGCGAAAGAAGGCTGAAGAAGGGAAAGCTAACAAAGTCTTTGGGCATGCCATGCTATGCAGGTGACGTCGACCAAATGGGACCATGGGAGCAAATGATCGTCACTGTCGGTGACCTCTGGGCTTGACACCTCTCTTGTCACCCCGATTTGCTGGGTTTCACAGACGTCACACTCGGTGCCGTTCTCCGGTCCACGTGGAACAGGAGAGCTGCGCCCCTGTCCAGTCTGAGAAATGCGAAGCAAACGTCTGAGCTGACACGCCCCGTGGAATAAGTAGGGGGCCATGCTTCTCGTGCGTTCCTCGTTCTTTTCCGGGATGTTTTGGATGGGTGACCCTACGGCCGCCTACCTACCTCACTCTCAGCTCCTCGTAATGCTGCGCAACATAGCCCGCGCAATATTCCTGCCGCTTGCCCGGCTTCGCCGGTGAGCGGAAGTCGGGGTTCGCGCAAATCCTCGGAAGAAGCAGTGCGACTATGGCAGCTAAGGAATTGCCTGAGATGGGCCCAAGTTCCATACCGAAGGGCAAGTGCTCATGAACCCAAAACGGTCCATCACGAATCACAATCCAAACATACCCAAACTGTGAAGGATCATGCATGCAACTCGGTACATCTTGGTACAATATGGTAGTATATGAACGTCTACAAATCTGCACACACAAATTCTGCGCAAGAACCCTACATGGTGTGTCAAAATGCTTATGGTGACACTTCCAGTTGTGCCATTCTGTGATACAAATAAAAACCACCCCAGAAACCACAAACGAAGTGGCTCCTGCTACACCTAAGCCATCCAAAACCTGTCGCCCACCGCCCGACTGTGAGGCACCAATTTGGAGTGGAATGAGTGGCCAACCGCGCGGCTTGAGTGACCAGGTGACATGGGCAGCCCACGCGAGATGGCCAACTTGAAGAGCTCTGTATAGGGCCTGGCAGTTGGGAGCACCTGGGAGCCGGGAGCATCTGGGAGCCAAGCCTATCCAACAAACACCTGGTATCCGCAGAACCTTCAGTTCACACAACCCGTGCACCAGCGCATACTTCGTAGAGGAGCATCAAACATTGAGGGGGCGGCTGAGACACATCCGGTGTGTCATGGTGTGTCACACCATGTCAAAAGTCTTTGGGTGGTGTATGGATCCATCATCCAAACCCTGAAAGTGCCATCTCCTCAGGGCAGCGCGTTTGGTTTGGAAGAGTCGCCACGCGACATGACGCAGTGGGGCACTACTTGGTGGTTGAAGGATGTTGCCCAAATGGACCCTCCAAGGCGCCGCCTGTGTGCCGCGCGGATTGAAGAAGTAGATGGATGTATATAGATGGCACAATCACTGGCACAATCCCTCAAAGTTGGTTGGACAACTGGATCCCCATCGACATGTCGGGGTGCCAGTGCCATCGAAGCGACACCGCTGGTCTCTTCTTCGAGTCAAGGGTCTCCAAATTCCCCGTCTCTTCACAGTCCACTGGCCACATGCAATCCTGAGTCCTCACGGTTTTGCTGCAGGACACGGTCGGGGAGCTTCTTAAAGGATCTTAAGCTCCTCTAAGGGGACTTCTCCTCTAAGGGGATCCTGATGCTCCTCTAGGACATCGTGTCCTTAGAATATCTGCTGCGGTACAGGCATGGAGGTAAATATGGAAATACCGAAGCGTGGAATCTGCCAATCACGCTGAAGTTCGCATCAGCCTGTAGCAGCACGGTGGTTTGAACGACACTCCCATCCCTGGTCCTTTCTTGTTGAACTTGTGATGGTGCTCCATGTTGGAGATGAGAGCTTTTGAAGCAAGCAGTGTCAAAGGCACATGTCGTGCAGCTAGGTCAAGCTCGACCAACAAACAAATTATGTCCTGTCATCAGTTCTGTCACGGCTTTATCTTCATTCTCCTATTCCACTCCGTTCCCCACATATTCTTTCACTCGACACTGGACCGACTCGTAAACAATAACATCTCGATCTAAACATCAAGGCCCAAAGCGGAGAATGTCGTGTCCTGATAGCGGCTGTACCACCATTCAAGATGAAATCTGCTTCATCCACATCAGCCAGCGACACGCCGGTACCCTGCCGAAAGCCAGCAACGATCCGCCCAGAACCAAGCTAAGCTGGAAGACATGCGAATCGAACCAAAGTTCATGTATTGTACAAAGTTGTCATCATGCTTCCACATGCTAAGGATTTCCTCCAGCGGCCTATCAAGCAACTTCCAGAACAGTGGGTCTTTGTCTTAAGACACGCTGCACACTTAGTCTTCCCTATTGTCATCCCTGCAGGAACAAATTCATGACTTATTCTGTGCTTGCAGCTGTGCAGGCGATGTAAACGCATGAAGGAGCCCAGCACAATTCAATATAAAGCAACCTTCACCCAGTGTTGTAGGCAGTTGGTTATATTTCATGAGGTTTGATAATCCAATGGATCTTAAGATCAATCAACTGCCTATATACATATAGTTCAAAGGAGACTGTTCTGGCCAGTGAGGCTGGCTAGTTCGGGTACTTCATTACGATCAATTCCTGCCATCACTTTGCATTGTGTCCCTTCTGAAATCACATGGAATAATATCGGCCAAAAGCTACTGAAGTTGTTGCTGACGTGTCAATGGGCTGGAGCGAGCATCCGAGAAGCCCAGCTTGCCACGCACAATCTGCTGCATTTGACATCATGTGACTACAGTAGATCAATAATGAATGCCCAACTTCCTGACCACTACGAATCCCTTCTGCCCGTCCTAGAAGCGGTGGCTAAATCCGGTACATCCGTTTTGGGCAGCTCACACCAGTGCTTGTCCTAGCCATACCCATGGCCTCAGTTTTTGAACAAGTCTTACATCAGTTCCCTGGCAAGCTAAAATCCCGCCAAAAACATGGGTGACAGTGACCAGGTGACATGCTCGACGTGTTCAATCATAGTTCCGGCCAGACTCGCTCTGCGGCGGACCGGGGCCTCCAAATAGTCGGTGACTCCGCTCCCGTCCACTTTGGACAGCCACACGCAGCGCTGCCCAGATCGCTCTCGTAGGGCCTTCCACGCCTCCGCTTTCGACTCGCTGGAGGATGACTCGCCGGTGGGACACGGGCAGCGACCCCGGGCAGTTTTGGGCATGTTCTTGATCTCAAATTCGTGGACTGTAGCGTTTTCCTCTGCAGGGACCATGCCAGTTATTCATCAATGCACTACCCTGCACTACTCGACTGCGCTTCCGTTAGGGTTTCCATGGAGACAATGGCTGCCAGGTGACTTCTTAGGACCAATGCAATGACATCGGCCATATGGCACTGGATCCTTACGCTCAAGGCTAAACAAAGAACACAAATACACGAGGAGAAACGGCCTTCATCAAATCTCAAATGGTCTCAGGATCTTCATCAAATCAATCCAAGTGTCCCTTTTCCTCTTGTTCCTTGAGCTGCTGCTCCCCGCCCCCCCAGACGGATAGAGGATCACATCTGCGGTGCTTCGTTTCTCCCTCGTCCACCTCTTCACCGGAGGTGATGGCTCCCAGGAAAGCGGCAGCATCCAAGCCCAACTTAGGGATCTCCTGGCGTTTCAAAGCCAGGCACTCCGTGTATCATATATGTATAAATATGCCTACCTTTACCTATAAAAACCACCCCAATGATCTCCAATGTGGGTAAATATGCCAGTTCCATGGAGTGTCTGGCTTTTGAACATGCTCAGTCGGACGGAACCATGCACAGCATCTCTTCACTGGAGCTAATTGGGTTTGGTAAGTTCTAAGGTTTGCCAGAAGGACCCGGACCGTGATGAATGGAGCGGGCAACCAGTGGATTCGTCACTTGTGTGCTTAGGCGACCAGTCCGCTGGTAGTGGAGTCGAAAGTGGGAATGCGGCGTTGGCAGCATTTGACTGCAAAACCGTCATGTGCAGACTGCCTGCAGGATCCTCCCATCTGCACATACCTGAAGGCTCACTGAACCGTACCCTCCCATTTTGCACACCAGTGAGAATCAGGAAGTGACTCAGCTCTGCCCGGCTCTGCCCCGCCTTCAGCACCCATGGGGACCGCTTGGAGGAATTACCTTGGCCGTCACGCGTGAACGAGTGGACATCCCCGGCACTTGAACGTGGGGCATCTATTGTTCCAACTTGCTCAACATGAGGGGATGTGAATTGGTGGATGCACGTCTTATGCACCTGTGCATCAATAGCAGAATCATGGTGGTCGCATTGAGGATGCTTGAAGGTATAGAGATCGCACATGATCCAAGTCAGACCGTGATGGCGCAAGTGTTGTGGAACCAGCACCTTGGGGTGCTTTTTGCATGACTCATTCGCACACCTGCGGAACCTTAAACGCCTTAAACCAGCATCGTCTACAAGTCGTCGTGCAAGATGGGTGAATAGATGTGAAAAGTCAAACTGAGAAGGGAGGGCACGAAAGCCAACCTCTGGGTTAGGGGAGTGCCCTTAGGGCAAGCCTGGCGTTTGCCCGCTGTTTGTTATTCATGTCCCGTAGATGGGCTCAAAAGACTTGGCGTGCAAGATGAAATGATTGGTTTACATCGGGCAAAGAGTACTTTTATGGGGTGAAGTTGACATCGCAGCCACCCTGATGGGGGTAGAAACAGAAAGTAGAATACATGTTTGGGGGGGGGTGTGCCTCCCACTGTCTCCAGTCCCTCGTAGGTGCTTTGATACATTTGTACCCCTTTTATTTCCAATTACAGGCACCGCCCTGATCCACGGTAGCAAACACCTAGCAAAACAGCAACCCCATTCTCGGCACTCTCTCAAGAAAGATTTGACACATGTGGCTGAGTCAAATATTCTCCGCCTTGGCCTGCGGGTTAGCACGCTTCGGCGCCATGGGTCCCACCTGCCCAGCTCGCATACGAATCGAACAACTTTAAGAACTGAATGCAATCACGCCTGGTGTGCCTGAGAAGGGTTGATAACTGATCGGGGCGGATTTGGGCCACTGAAAGATGCAAAGCACACACTCCAAGTCAGCTGAAAAACAAGAAACAATTCCTCAACACGTTCAAGACAATGCATCATCTCCATCAGAATTGAATTCCCACCTGACCCATTCTCACACACACGCCCACATGTGGTGATGAAGGGGAGAGAATCAATTATTCTGCGTACACCTGTGGTCAACAGCAAATCCCGGCCACATCTACGAGCACACAATAGTGAATGAGGTGATGGCCTCCCACCAAACCGATCCAAACCATTACTGAAGACCAGCAAAAACGACGCTAACAAAACAAGCGTGAGCAAAACGCAGCTAACCCATGGCTAACCCTTGCGAAAACAGGCTAACCAACCTCGACCTGCCAGTACGATGGAAACGTGGCTAACCATGGTGAACCCATCCAAGAACGTTGTCCGAGCGCAGGCTAACCCACCTTGAACGCTACAAAAACGCAGCTGGCCCACACCTTCACCTGCCAAAATGCAGCTGGCCCACAGCTAACCCATCGAAAGCACTGCAGACACCCAACTCATCCTGAAGACAAGCCAAAACGACGCTGACAAATGCGGGGAAAAACACAGCTAGCCGACACTTTCATGCGCCAAAGCGCAGCTGACCCACAGCCAAAACGCAGGCTAACCCACCCACACTTTCAGCCACCCCACGGCTAACCCTTGCTAAAGCTGGCACTTACCCTGACCCTCATGGAGCCAGATTGGGACTTGTGAGCCCCTCACGATACCAATGATGCACTACTCGCCGTCAATTACATCACTTGCATCACAACACCCCCAAAAAACCACTCATTTTCCCTACCTCCTGGCCGCCTCCTTTTTTTCGTTCTCCCCCACCTGGCTCTGGGTTAGCTCTCCGAACTCTCTCCGAAATTGACCCGTTCCCCTAGACTCCAGCCTAGCCTATCGGCTGGCTTTCGTGAAAATGTACAAATATACATTTACATATATATATATATATTCTTATTCATTTGTCTTTTTTCACCGGAACATGTCCAAAGACTTGGCTTCAAACAGCAAAAGTGATGGATCAAATTCAATTTAGAACACGTGGATGAATCAAAAATGCGAGGCACTGAGTATCACCAACTTCTTCCCCATCCTGCTGCGGGCGGGAACGGATCGGGAGCTGAGCCTCAAGATCAAACACTTCTGGGACGTCCCAGAATGGTTATAATGTTTAACTATAAGGGAACACCTACAATTCAATATAGTTCAATGCACGATGTCCCGTGTTCCTTGAGTTCCCATATTCTCCCTTAAACCAATCCATTGAGAGCGCATGAATGTGCATTCTCGAGTGCTTTGTTGCTCACAAGAAGACCCAATCCTCCCCGTGGCATCACGTGGAAAAGGCGTCTATGATCCGACAGGGTTCTTGTTCTGACGGGGGGGCATCCATGGAAAAGAAAGGCGGGGCAAGTCTGAATTGATGGTGATGATTAGTTGAGCCAAACTCACCTCCTACAGGTCCTGCAGGTCGTAGATCTTCCCTCATTAGGATTCAAAACTGCTGCCTGAATATTGGTCTCTCTCCAGAGTCTTCAACGACCCAACGCTTCTCGGAAACATATCAGCACAGCACAGCCCGGTCTACCAAACAGCTTCGGTCTGGCCGCTCCTCCCTGCCTACCAGCATTCGCCGGCATTCGCCGCTGCACCGAGGCATTGAACATGAACTTCCCCCGGTCGGCCGGTCTACGCTGTGCAGGTCTACCCCTCCACTCAAATACCGCCACCCAGGTCTACCTCTTCAGCTGTGTGATCAGTTCTGGCGCGCCAGGTAGCGCATGGACGCCATTGTGGAGGACGCCGTACCTCCGAGAAAGCCAGGAAGGTGACGGGTCTTCCACCAAATCCCAGTGAGAGAGCTAGTTGTCTGAAGGGACCAAACCAGGGTTGAGGGGGGTTGCTATGCATGGAACGCGATGGAAGCACACTGTCATGTCAAGTGACAAATTCCGCGAATGAAATTAAATATTACTGTTTTATGCTGTTCAAGCACAAACTCTCCATCACACTTCTCATGGGTGTTGGCAAATGCTCATTGGGCCAGAGTCAATGGCCAATACTTTCAAGGAGTTGAACGGGAACAAAAACGGGATAGTCACCTGTATTTGCCACAATATGCAGCAAGTAACCAGCGCATCCCAATGAACTCGTATCATTTATATGCCACGTTAATTCCGAAAGAACAGAGCCCACCCGCTGGAACTGATAACACTGTTGAAACTGGCGATTCACTTGAAAGCGCAAGGGCTCAAAGAATTGCCGACAAATCACGACATTGGTCGAAGACATTGGCCAAGCCGAAACAAATCACGCCCAACCCACCCATGTGTCGCTCAGGAGCAAGTCGAAAATAAATCCGTCATAACCTGAACACGGGCCGGTGATGGGCTAAAGATGCGTCTAGGAGGTTGGGCATCATACCGAAGATGAGCATCGTTCACATTAGGCATGTGATAGGAAAGAAACGCCAAAAAATATCCTACCAGCATCAGCACCTATGTGGTTTGAGATGGTTTAAGGACCCCTCTTTCCCATGCGGCTTGGTATTGCGAGGCATGCTTTCTGACCAATTAGACCCGGCTGAACTGCAGGGGTCGGTGGAAAAGAACTGCAGGGGTCGGTGGAAGCGAACATCAACAGCCCTGTACACTAAAACTCATTGGTCGAGGGCCTTATGTCACACATACACACACGCCTTATGTCCAGCTTGATGTTGCCAGCCTTTGATCATAAAGGCTGGCATTCAAGAACTCTTCGGAAGACCTCGCAACCACCCATACTGACTCCCTCACTCTCCCTGAAAAACAAAGCTTTAACCTTTCTCCACCTGTTCGTTGCTGGTGGGGGAACCAATCCCCCCAAAAAGGTTAAAGGTTATGCGCTGACTGGGTAAGTATATGACTGAGCTGAGGGCTGAGATCGTTGCTGTAGGCTTTCTACCAACCAATCATGTCAAGTCATGATGTATATATATATAGTTAAACAATAAAACATAAATATAGTAGTATATAATATGTTAGATACTATGTTAGATATATTATAAATATTTATACGGTATATATTTATCAACCTATAAACTTGTGCCAAGTGGAATCGATGGGCGACACATGGTAAGTTCATGTGAAAGAATGTCTGTTCTGCACCGTTGAGTGTTCAAACACCATAACACACCTCCAAAGTATCCTAGAAAATGACACATTACCTATGAAAACAGGTATTGGAAGTACCCATCAGCCATTTTCCAAGGTACGAGACGGTACGAGCGAACGGCTCCCATCCAACGAATGTCCCGAACCAAACGAGCGGCGTTCCGCCAGCTCCGTCCACGTCGACACCGCCATGCCATCACCGCTTGCCATGGCGCGATCGCAGATTCAAGGGCTTTGTCGGTGAACAGGAAGTCTGGCTTGTTGGACCTTGAAACAACTAGAGCCTGAAAACATATACCTGAAAACCGTGAAAAAAAAACATCTTAAAACAACATCTGTCCATAGCTGCAGGAGGTTCAATTGACTGACAGGTTCCTGGTTCCTGACACTCTGTCGTCCCCTTACGAGAGAGAATGAACATGGGAAGGCCGGGGACCAAAGAAACTGCTGTGACACGTTGCTCTGCACACGAGTACGACGAAACAGTTCCATGTTCGTCAGCACCGGTGGGAAGTCCATGTAGCTCGTCAGGCACCGTTCCAAAGCTCTTTGGCTCGCTTGGAGCCGCCAGCTAGTGTTTGTTGAGAGGGAGAGGAACCAAACTTTAGCTTGCAATCTCCTTAAATCTGCTGTCTCTTCCGGAGTGATGCAACAAAAGAAGCCGCAGTAATGCATTGAGCACGCTGCAGGACACATACATGAAGTGGACAAGACTAGCGACTAGACCCTTTCTTTTTCCAAAAGGAGATTCTATCATTTTGCTCTGGATCCTTTTTTCACCTATGGAGTGGAAATAGTGCACATCATGTCCCATCAATAACTGGATGCCACGGGCTCATCGGTTCAGAACCGATTATAACCCATTACGCAATTGCAAAGCTGGGAGGAACATGGGGGCCTGGACGTGGCAAGGGGGGGCTTCTCGGAGGGACGAAGCCGAGCAACGCTAGTTTGGGAACCCGAGTTCTGAACAAATCCACTGTTAGGTTGAGAGGGGCCTGGACTGGGTCGAGTGAAAAAGTCGTACATGTCCGGTCCGCACCAGGCTGTAGAGCTTCCAGCACTGAGCCCCAAACAACTGACTTGTGCTTAGTAGCGAATGAGGGTGGCTAGATGCAACGGAATCTCTATTGGGAGCTCTAAGCACCAGTCAAACAAAACCCAAAGCTCCCGGATCCGAGCATCGTACCCCACTAGCCAATCATAGACCTCCTGACACAAACTCATGCTCGGCCCAAACGCAGGTTGTCCGCAGGAGTTCGGCACGATCGCATGAGCGGTCACGAAGCAATAGAGGAAGATATCGAAAGAATGCAAACCGGCTGCAACTCCACATAGGCCCCACATGACCCCACCCTAGGAAATCTTCACTGTTCATAGCCTTCATCTCACCTAATTACGTTGATTCGTTTTCCACCATGTTCCCTGCATGTCCCTGGAACAGTGCGCCAAGTCCTCTCCATCTGCAGCTGCTTTGACATAATGCTCCTGGGCAAACGAAACATAGCAAACTCTGAACTGCAAAGATCGCCAGGCCCGTGGGAATAGAAAGGGTCCAGCTTACTCCATTAGCTTGGCTGAATGCACAGTGGCGAAATGGACACCAACGCATAATGCCCAAATACGGAACATCAACCTGTGCTACGTTCGCTAACTACAAATGTTCCGCGGGACAATTTTGCCAGGCACCTCCTTTTTACATATTCTTACCTACCTATATATATATAGTTGAGCACAGATATATATTCTATAATATATATACAATGTTCAAACAATTATACGTTCACCTGGTGAACGGAGAAAACCATGCTTCACCTCAAGAATTGACCCTCCTCCCTGTTCTACCCAATGTCTTTGTACAGACTGCCTTCGGGCATCCGGCCTCCCAGTATGCGCTTTCCCCAAAGTCGGGCAGGTCAACCTCACCGCGCTGAGCAGCATATGGGAGCCTTTCTGATGTCCTGGCCTGATGTCGACTCAAGACCGTTGACTGGACAGATTGAAAGATTCAAAGTGAAGGCCACCCCCCTGTCCTTTGTTTCCTCTGGTGTTGGAGCCAATCGTCCTCCATGCTGGTGTTGGAACCGAAATACCGTCACCACATTAAGCATTAATTAACCCTCTAAGGACAACAACATTAACCCAGCACCCCAGAAGGCGGGACGCAACTCAAACTGACTGGGAATATGCAAACAATCACCCGTGTACAGCACAGGTTCCAAGGCAACATTCAGATCACGGCACCTGTCAAACAGTACCTACAGGGTTTAGGGTTTAGGGCGCCGGTGACCAACTGTGCACCACTCCCAGCCCCAAAGATTGAAACCCAACTGCATTTAGCTGTTGGGAATTGTTGTATGTTGAGACCAGCATTTGGGCATGTCCTCCTGATCACGTGTTCAACACCTGCAGGCTCCTTCCGTTCAATTCATGATGATCTGTTTGCTTGGTATCACTTCACTACAGGTCTTGAGTAAGCGCCAGACCAACGCAGTACTGACCTCGAAGTCTCTCCCAAACGTTCGCTGTCTCACGGAAGAGCCCATCAAAGTACTGTGAAGATTTGAACACCTACTCTCTGACTCACTAACATGGAAGTGGAAAATTACCCCTTTGGAAGACTACTTTCCTTTACAAACAGGAGGTTTTCCACTTCCATGTTAGTGAGTCGGAGTGTATAGCCTATAGACGTGCAAGCAGTCAGAAATGTTGGTGAAGCATGGACAAAGGCTACACATCTGGGCTACTGTAGAGGTGAAAAGTAGGCTGGAGAAGATGGAACGACCCCACGTATTCGGACGTGGTGGAGGCGAAATCGACTGGTTTCAGTCTGGTCGGAAATCTATGTACAGTACTTCAATGTTCTCCATGCATTTTGCCACCCAGGATTGGCCCCTTCCCACATTTCAAGCTTCAGTCATCTCTCAACCGGCCTTCTCT